CTAAACTAAATTATACCATCTACGCCTGCACGCGCCCGTCGTTCCGATTGTAGCACGTGAATTGCATGCTATTATCCCAAGCACTTTGAGAAAACTTTTCAAAGTCCATTGTGTTACATAACTTATGAGAAATCATGTGCTGTTATTAGGCTGTCAGTTTTGAAAAATAATAAAACTGGTTTTAAACATCATTACTGTTTATGCTGTGAACGCACCAATTATGGTTTTCTTAAGCGATCTGTTTTAATGAATAATTTACAAAATCTAAACGACTAATAGTCCCATGACTATATCAACCTTAATTGTTTCAAGCATAGTGGCTACATCATTTGTACAACCCAACACGCGTGATAAATCGCACATCGGCTTGCTTTCTTTGATGAATCTTCTTCTCTCTATTACCTCCCTATACCGTTGTTCTTACTCACATAAAAATTCTAAGCAGCATTTTGCGCTACCATATTGATGACTTACAATTTCACATGATTAGGTTATATACATATTTCTTCATTTGTGTTACGTTTTATGTGAGTGAGTGAGTGAGTATGGTTTTACGCCGCTTTTAGCAATATTCCAGCAATATCACGGCGGGGGACACCAGAGATGGTCTTCACACATTGTACCCATGTCGGGAATCGAACCGGGTGTACGGCGTGACGAGCGAACGCTTTAACCACCAGGCTACCCGACCGTCCCACGTGGTATGTATTCGCATCATGTCCTGTGCTATTTCAGTCCCGTAGTATTTGGCATATGATACCATCTGTAAGTTATACCTGTTAGTCTACAAACATTTACAATTCGTAATCTAAATCATGTTGTCATGGTGCGTTACGTTTGAGAAATAATAAAACATATTACTTATAAATTTCTGGTAACAAAGACAATCACAAGTTGCGTTCGACGTGTATATTTTCCATAAGTACCCTTTATATGAATCGTATGTTATATTGACCATCGGTGTTGCGAATTCCCTTAAGTCTGTTGAAACGTGGTATGTTTTGTGTTTGTGATTGTTGTTTAACGCCGCATTGGGCAATATTCCAGCTATATGACGGCAGCCTGTAAATAATCGAGTCTGGACCAGGCAATCCAGTGGTTGATATTGTGAGCAACGATTCACGACGTCGGGGTACGATGACACACAATCAACCAAGTCGCCGATGCTGACCACCCGATCCTTTTCGTCGTATCTTCTGACAAGCAGAGTTTGCCGGGGATCCCTATAGTCCTGCACCATGACCGTGGAATATATTTATTTTATGAAAAAATAATAATCTAGAAATGCATACAAAAGCAAGTCTAGCCAGCTCAAGCTAGCTCTTTTCCATTCTATTCTGAAATCAGCATAGGGAATTTTTTTTTATTTTTCGAGTCAAGAAGGATATTGTGTAATATAAGATTTCAGAGACTAAATGTTAGTCTAGGGATTCCTACGGATCCCTCCTCTGAATAACTACGGGGGAACATGTAGTATGTCACTAGGAATGAAATGACTCCCGGTGTTCTGATTGTTTCCGCTGATATGGGTGGCATAGGGTCCAAGGCGTTGCAGTTCGCTGTGCAGAGTTACGTCCCTTAGTCGTGCCAGGATCCGTTGGATGTTGGTTCGAATCCCAAGTTCACCCCGATTTTGATGCTTATGCAGTCAGCATGTGCTCGCTGGTTGCCAAGTGGTAAACCAATACGACCATAATTTGATTGCGATGTCCCCCGACATTCAGCTGACATACAGTAATAAAACAATAGATTGTACCCAAGCGGCATGGGAGCCGAATTAGAGACGCTGTTCATACTCATTGTCATATCACTGATGTCTTTGTAAGTTGTATATCTTTGTATGCTTTTTATTTCGGAAATGTAGGCCATCCGGCCCATAATTCACAAACAATTCACAACAACATATTGATGAAAGTTCCGCCTTTGTACATTCTATACATTACTATCAATATACAACTTCAACAAATGACATTAACACCCATATCATAGTGTTTTTCAATCCATTGCTTTCTCGCATTGAAACCATACAATATGTTTGCATCTAGTTCCAATGCATGTTGGTTGTCACAGATTTTCATAATGTTTAAAAAGTTAAAATGTCCTTTCACAGCGCTAAAATAAGACTTTTTTAAGTTGATTAAGTTGAAATTGCACGCACAGAACGAACAATGTACAATATGCGAATGATGTGTGTGTTGTCAGCGGCGTCTTCGGTATTGATGCTAAAAATTGAGGTCAATCATTTATTTATCTCTAATCAAATTGTCAGAATTAGATACATTTTATTGGATAACTATGTTCCGGGTACGTTAAGCTGTGAAACTACTCACTAATCTTCTGTTCGAGGTTTAAAATGAAGTCATCGATAGTCATTTAGAAAGTGGAAGAGCGTGAAGGCGTGAAACCTTTTATGGATAACAACTATTTATTGTTAATAACGACTTTTCAGGTCTACTTCTTGCCCCTTTATCAGCCGAAGACTGAAATATCAAACAATAATGAAGTTGCCATCAATATAAAGTTTCTGTCTCCTTGAAGTTAGAATGATGGGTAAACTTTAATTTAGGTACAGGGACAAGCTCCTATAAGCTTCAATTAGTTTGTTACATAATCCAATTCTTATAAGTGACTACATGAAATAGATCCATGGCTACAGACAATAAAGCATTTCTCTGACATAGGAGGGATTCTCAGTGTATGACCCGCGACGTTTTGCAAAACAAACAACTGTATCATGACAAACAAGGCTCACGCAACTACACCAAAACATCGCGTACTATAAACAGAAGGATTACGGTAAATACGTTTGTGCTTTATTGATGCCCGCACCTTCCTGACTAAACTGCTGGGGGAAAGAAAGCATGCGCTTGAAAATTGGATTTGACAAAAATATTACAAACGCTATCGAATTGTTACTAGGCTGAAAACAGTCGCCGATACACTGCTAACGTAAGGCTTAAAAACAGCTATGATTCCCGTATCAAATATATCACCACCCAATCACCATTTCTTGTTCGTTTCATTTTAAGCCATCTTAAGTTTACAAGTCAATATTGTTTAGTGGCGCAGTCAGGGGTATAGCTTGAATGCGTCTCCTCATACTACAAGTATATATTTTGTTTAATAATATATTGGAATAAACACATATTTTCCAAAAACATCAAATTTACCCGACATAATATGTTTTTTTAAATAGAATGAAAATGTATAAACAGGTAAAAGGCACTTTGAAACAAACATGAAACAAACATGAAACAAACATGTATAATAATGTGCTATAATGTCAGCTGATAATGAAACAATGAAACATTTCTGATGACCTCTTAAGGACTCGACTCGAATTATTTTTTTATCGACGTTTTGCAGTATCGACAGTAGCAACAAACCGCTACCAAGGGGGGTAACTCGGGTTTGTCAGGTATTTGCCTGGATACGTGTGTGCGTGTAAGTTTAACCTACCTCGAAGATTTTGTGTATGTGATAAAACCAGTGACCAGTTAATCCCTTTGTTATAGCCGGGCATAAACACATTATTTGTTTGTTTGTTTTTGTAACCGTAGTTTTCAAATAGGGTTTATAGCGAAATATACACCGACGTGTTTCTCTTCTGTTAGCTATTTAATCAACAGATATACAACCTTCTGTGTGAAAAGTCTTATCTGTGTCAGATTGCACAGGAAAATTATGGAAATACTCTGGTGGTCAAACTGTAAGTCGGAATTAGGAATGAACAGGTATCGGGGTGTGGAGGGATTTATTTGTTTGTCTCTTTATGCAAAATCTGAGAATAAGGTGCCAAGGCTCCACGCGTATTCCGGGTGGGAATTGGTTCCCAACCCATGTAGATGAAATATTGCTGAGTTTGGTGTTAAGCGACAATTAAGCACACAAACAACAAACAAACAAACAATCAATTGTAGCAACAAATAAACAAATGAAACAAACAAACAAATGCTTGAACACCTAAAATAACACATGGCCCCAACGTGATAATGGAAGTCCCTTTCTGCACACGTCAGCAGTAATATACTTTTCATAACACTTCTCTCGCAAAACAAAGACAACTTCTTACAGCAAACATTGCCTGCATCCAAGCCGTACTCGGTGTTGAGGTGTCGGTCCCCAAAAGTTCCATGTGTTTAACCAGACAAGTTTCACTGGGTATAACACCGTTCGCATTAACGGGGTTGCTGTGTATATTTATACAGATTCGAATGTGAAATATTATATTTTTTTATCGGTTACGTATGTAGTGATATATAACAAAACGCGTCTGGCATTGTCAAACATGACCAAGTTACTGTTGAAAAGGGGACACGTGGATTTGATTTTCAGGAGTTTAAAGACTAATGTTTACCAATTCTTTGACAAAGAATGGACCTTTTTCGTGCCAAAACAGCTATAAAAAATGTTAACACTGTCAGGATGTGACAGTTAAAATAGACACGTATATGGTCATATTGACGAGAGTTAATGTGTCAGCATAGGAATGATAAACAATGAATGTAAACAAACAGAACACAAATTTACGATATTTTTCATTTAAACTTGCACAACGATAAATAACTTTAGCGTCACCCAAATCCTCAGCATTTACCCATGCATGGGGGTTTCCATAAACGTGTAACGGTTATCAATGGGATTTTCTATTTCTAAATACGAAAAACACCCACAAGACTGGTGACACTTTTATTTCTTATCGACCTTCGATCTGCTTCATTCAAGTGTATTATCGCCATGTAAGGCATGTAAACAGCTTTAATTGTGAGAGAAAGCTGTGGAATACTTTCATCCATGTGTGTCGAGAAGTATGTTACTCTACATGGAAAGTCTGGACTGAGTATGACATTGCCACATGCGCGAGAGACCCTGTCCTCGGCCAAATTACATCTGTCACCGATCACTATCGTCTGCGCTTGACTTGCCTCGGAGATCCTGCCCTCTAGCGGCCGCGCGTGTCTCGTGCTGCCTCCCACCACCAGCCAATGAACGCATGGCTCAGTCAAGATGGGATATACGGGACAGTGCGACTGAATATAAAACACTTCTAAGTACTAACACACAGTTTCCTATGTCGACGATTTTGTGACATATCACTATCGTAATTCGGGAGAAATTTGTGTAATTGCCTGGCAAGAAATTACCCTGGTCTAGCAAGCTGGAGAAGAAAGTTTGGAAGTTTTCTCGTTTTGTGACGTTTCGTGTTATGTCAAAGAGATTAGCGAACCTGCCGTTGAGCAGGTAAAGACAATCCGCACTTACTATTTCAAAACACGAGCATCTCGCAACATGATGAAACCGATCGTACCCACAGCGAAGAGGGCGAGGCATGGTTTTAGTATAGAGTCACTCATCGGATCTGAGGGGAGACGGTCAGAATCCCCGGGGGTAGTGAGAGAGAAGATCCACCCAGGGGAATCCGAACTCGGGGGCAGAGTCCCACCCCTCCACCCCACGTTACCGTCACCGTTAAGAGGAAGTTTTTTCAGTGAAAACCCAAACGAACTATTAGCCCTGAGGTCAGCCTGGGGTCTTGTATCCCCACCCCTCGGAGCATTTGGTCATTTGGGGCAAGGTGGATTTGGCCAGGCCCAGGGTCTCCCCTTCAACCCATCTCTGTTTGCTGGGGGTCGGGATCCCTTCCAGCTCTACCCCTGGCTCCTCACCCGGCATGGCCACTGCGTGTCATACCCATTCCCAGGTACGTCTGTCAGAATATTTCTTATATATGAGATATATGTACATTACAACGACATAAATACTCGGCGTTTAACCTCTTTTTGAAACCCATGGATGCGCCCAAAGGATTCATAACAAATCCTTATGTTTCTAAATAAAGGTGTAATAAATCATCAAATAATAGATACACTATTATATTTGATTATGTAACTACATTCGTTTAATATAATTATATCACTAAATATTTCACAAAATCTCGCGTTCTCTTAAAACTAATGTCTGACAAGTCATGCTTCATCAATACACGTTCTCGTCCCATGCATCGATCGAACCAGCAGATAATGTTTCAAGACAGAAATTTGACCGAAGTTAATTATCGCTGACCAGGGAATTCTGCTAAATCAATAAGTCAAATATTTGAATCTGCACCATACTAGCATTGTTAAACGCCTTAATGAGGGAGATGTTTTCTATAAATACATTAAGTTTTTGTTCAAGTTCTGTAACCGATAGATTTTCAATTTGCAGGCGACATGAAACCTCTCTACAAGTGATGCTGTAATGGCCCATTGATTAAAATCAGTAACACACCCGCCCAATTGACTACCTTTTGTACTCTCCATTTTTTCTCTCTCTTGACAACAGAGCTAAAACGTGGAGAGCAACGTTATAGCTCTGTCTATATTGTACGTACTAATAATCAATGGTGCCTTGACGTTTAATAAATATGATTTAATCCTTTGAACAAGTATATGGAGTTTTTCAGAGCTGACAGAATTAACAAGAAAAGGGGGTTTGTTTAACGAGAGGACAATGGAGCAAACTGAACAATTATTTTTCGTAACTTTAAAATGTTTGGTGTTAAATATATTTCATTTTTACATGGCGTGGAATACATAGTTCATTTTAATCTGCTCACTTCATCGCTGAGCTTAAAGATTTAGAAACGAAAATCGATATCTTTTCTTTTACCTGCATATAACCATATTAGAATTATTTATTGGTTTTAGTTGCGGTTTAGTACTGGACCTATACTAATCGTCAATGATGTATGCAAATAAGTGACATTAAGACAGATATTAATAAAGCATAAATAAGTTACATCACCTCAATACAACTACCCATGAAATAGAGAATAGGAAGGATATGAGCATACATTGCCCAGTGTCACGCAATTAAAATAAATTGTTTAAAGTGTGAAGGCTGTACACAACCCTTTAAATATGAGAAATGACACTCAATATATTTAAAAAAAAATTAAATTTCATATATATCATGTTCAGGGGGTTTCAAAGTTCGAATCTGAGAAAATACTTGTCTTCGTGTTTCTCTTGATTAAATCCTCCTCGATCAATGCATGACAGCCCGGGGCCGGATGAAGATGCCAAGTCTGTTGAACCTCCCCCTGGTCCCCTCCCCCTGGGAATAGTATCTTAGCGGTTGTATAATTTCAATCATGAAATGATGTGTTTTTTCATTCGTTGAAGCATCCTAACAAACCAGCATCTGATTTCATCCATATAAAGACGCTTATTGTACAGCAGCACAAACGAATTCCATCCAGTTGTTAGATCAGTGGTAGCGATACAGGAGTGAGTAACATTACTTTCACACTTGCACACACGACAAGGTTTGCATGACAGGGTTAACGTTGCTGAGAATGAGTTGTTTGTGTACGGTTTTAATAGTCCTAGTGCTTACATTTGAATCTTACTGCTAATATTAACATTCAAGAAACATTCAGTTACCTTAATGTCATGCCTGATATTTGTTTTTGCATGAATATATTATATACGACAGATGTTATCTAAAGATTTGCATCTCTCTGACATTGATATCACATAACTGTTTATTTTGTGGTTTATCTTTACAATAAACGTCCCTGTAAAAAGCAGGAACATTGTTATTTCCTTGTGAATATAATTATAAAGATGAGCGCTAAAAAACAGTTCACGAAATATGAGCCGTAAAAAATGACACCATCTAGCCCAATGTCTCTGCACAAACACGGCTTATTGGATGACGAAACAGAGATATATACATATATATTAACTATATCTTATGTTCATAAATTGTTATCTTATTTTTACACTACAGAATCTAATACGCTATGATGATAAACAGAAACTCCCCTTCATACATAATTTAGATATGTTTTTGTTTACTTTGATTAGTATATTCATTAGAAATATTGAAGGCAGTGTTATTATTGTAATATTATGTACAGGGTGTGTTTGCTGTTTGGACGGGCTTGTCATGATAAAACCATTATGTATGTGTCCATTTGAAGCGCATATAACGGGGGTTGAACGTAATGTAAATTGAAATTTCTTAAATTGAATCCTGGATGAAATATAGCCAAAGTCATGTGACGCTAAGTATATGTCAACACTCACAGGGGATAATCCCTTTATCAAATGTACTTAAAATCCTCCAAATATTTTACAACAGCCGGTCCCATGTTCCTCGTCCGACCCCGCCTCCTACAAATACCAGTAACACTGTACGCAAATCTGTACTACAAAAGCCCTCACATGGCGTCTTGGGTTTGCATTATCAGGCGAATGTTGAATGAGATTATTTTCTCTCTTTCCTGCCCAGAATGACTCTGGACCCGATAGATCATACCAAATTCACACATTTTCTACAATTTCAAATTCATTTTTCACTTGAACGACTTCCCGGAATAACGTTTTATTCCCCAAACGGACAATATTATTTACAGAATAAGGCCAATTTGTTGAAGCCCTATTTACCCCTATGCCCTAATCCCCCATTATGAAGTCGTGTTGCGCAATCACTTATCATTCACTTCACTGGCAACTTTCTTCTCTATCCGTCTGAACTTCTACACAGTAGCCTGTGATTTGAATGTAAAGAGCAAAGCAGTTGAGGAATTAGCCCCGCTTCAACTTCCATTCCCACAGACCTGAGCAGGAAAGGGGGGATCTGTTAAAGGGAGACAACCTCTGCCGCACTGCTGTCTATGTTTGTGAACCTTCCGAACCGACAAAAAGCGTGAAGTGAACCAGTTAAATAATAAAAATCTCAATTACAAATTTAACGTTTTTCTTCGCAATATGGCCATGAAAGGGAATCTTGTCACTACATTCCGCGCATCATTTTGTAATACTTCACCGGCTATACATTTCCCTCCCTTGAAAGTATTTTCATAGAGTATCTCGGTAACACTTGTTTGATTGTGTGAATATTTTCATTGACTGTTAGTGTAAGAAGGGAACCTCTCCATTCAGATTAACACAGTGAGGCGTTATAAGCCGGTTGATAAGTCCCCACTGATGGGACAACGGCGAGTCAGTTCTCCGTGCATGAATCCTCGAGTCCGACAACCACCCTCCCTTCACCGTCCCCTCTCTCCCAGATCGCCATTCAGACTCAATGTAAAGGTATTAGCCAATATTAGCAACTTTAAGAGAGAGGACCTATTTATTTTGTTTAGCTACCGGCCACTTGAGATGAGGATAGCTCGCGGGAGTTTGCGCGTACAATTAACACCTGAATTGCGACAGACATGATCGCTGGCTTAATTTAGACCTGGGAATTTCGCCACTCGTCTTCACAATAGACATGCCCTCTTGCCTCCTCATCTACATCTAATCTATTAGCATTTACTTTATTTAAAACCAATTCCATTACAAGGTGTGATTATTCTTTTGAGGCAATCTTCAGCTTGCCACAAGGATGTGAATAGAAAAGGAGGGAGGCTATAGGACGTTACAGGGAACCGCACGACGCCACACAAACCTCTTGGTCGACCGTGGCCTCTTCTCTTCACACAGAATCCGTCTTTTCATGTATGAAATTGAAATTGTGGCAGATATTTGTCATTCGCGTCGTGTATTCACCATCCGATGATTGCCTCGAATTAAGCCTGTATCCCCTCGTGATCAGATGTAACGCGTTATAATGAGCAGCAGTAATGCGATTTCCTCTTGTCCGCTTTGTGTAGATCTACCATTAAACCTACGTCCCATAGTAATTATGTCGGATATGTGGATCAGAAATTCTCTAACCAGGTATGTAGCACCTGTAATTAACATACCGTTAAACGGGTATCAGTACACCTGAAGCGTTCAACAACACCACTGCAGTATACCGGGACGAATATAATATTGTGTTACCGATGTATGCTAATCATGCCGAGTTTGCAGAATTCAGTATCTTTCAGTACGAGGAAAACGATTTTTAAGATCTTTGTTTTTTAAAATATTTTTATGAATAATTAGTTTTCTTGCATATTTTCAACATTTTCCTGATTTACAATATTAAGTATAAGGTATAAGTTGTACTACTCATTTATGTTATGTTATCACTTTTTAAATATTCAGGCGTAAATAAATAATATAATACATATTTATTTTAACAAAACGTTTTCAGATGTCATGATTGATAATAATTTACCAATGTATCTTGCTAACAACATTATGGTTGTCTATGAATAGATATTAAAGGACACATGATTTTTCACGACCTGAAAAAATATCTTGACCTGCAAAATATCCACTTTGCAGGTCATTCGATAAACATGTTAGATTCAAAGAAATACAAATATCACATATCTCTATATTAACCTTAGTATAACGTATTATTTATATTTAATAACTGTTGGCTGGTACAAAGCTGACAGACACATGACATTCTACATGTACATACACTGCATGTAGATACCTACATAAACGAAAACGATATCTTTGATAACAAAAATCGGATATAGAAATACATTTGTCAAATTGTTCAATATTTAGATAGTACTTGTTCAATATTTAGATAATACTCGTTGAGTAAACCTTTCTTCGTGTAATTAGTACATCACAACATGACTACTGGATTAATACCAATTTAAAAAATGGTGTTTTTATCACTGAAATATATATTCGTCGTATCCATTATTATTTTATTGTAAATGAGGGTTAATTTATGCATTCATCTGAGTTAGTTTACTGTAAACTGCAAGTCACTATACCAATAGTCATGGTAATATTCCACCTGTTATAAAACTTT